TTATATTAATTTGTAGAATTGCCTTTTTATTTGCAAGGGTATTAATTTTTCTCATTTTTTAAATCAAAATTTCAATTGTATATTAAAAAAGAGATGCATGACTACATATGATATCATCAAATATTCATTGCTGAGAAGCAGGAAGGTGGGTGGTAAAATCAACTGCTGGCTGGACCTCAGACACCAGCAAACTCTAGAATTGGCTACCGCTATTGTAACATTAATTTCTCATCTCTAAAGAAATAAAAATTAGAATTACTAAGGAGTGGGAGGACTTAGATCACAACACAGCATTCCCGATTTTTCCCTTTTGTTTATTATCTCCACTGTCATAAAGGCCCATTATGGTTGGGTGGGGTGGCTCACACCTGTAATCCCAACACTTTGGGAGGCCAAGGCTGGAGGATCATTTGAGCTCAGGAGTTAGAGACCAGCCTGGGCAACATGGCAAGACTCCATTTCTTTTTTTTTTTTTTTTTTTTTTTTTGAGATGGAGTTTTGCTCTTGTTGCCCAGGCTGGAGCTCAATGGCATGATCTCAGCTCACTACAACCTCCACCTTCCGGGTTCAAGTGATTCTCCTGCCTCAGCCTCCTGGGTAGCTGGGATTACAGGTGCACACCACCATGCTCAGCTAATTTTGTATTTTTAATTGAGACAGGTTTAATAGAGACAAGAGCTCACCATGTTGGCCAGGCTGGTCTCAGACTCCTGACCTCAGGTAATCCGCCTGCCTCGGCCTCCCAAAGTGCTGAGATTATAGGTGTGAGCCACCACGCCTGGCTTACTGTATGTTTTATTGTCACTTTAGAGTATTCTCCTTCTACTTATATTAAAAAAGAATAGTTGACTGTAAATAGCCTCAGGCAGGCCCTTCAGGAGGTATTACAGAAGAAATATCATTATCATAGGTGACAGCTCCATGTGTGGTTTTTTTGCCCATGAAGATCTTTCAATGGAACAAGATGTAGAAATGGAAGACAGTGATGCTGATGATCCTCACCCTGTGTATGCCTAGACTCGTGTGTGTTTGTATCTTAGTTTTTCACAAAAAAACTTAAGAAGTGAAAGAATAGGCCAGGCGTGGTGGCTCACGCCTGTAATCTCAACAAGTTGAGAGGCCGAGGNTTTTTGAGACAGAGTCTTGCTCTGTCACCAGGCTGGAGTGCAGTGGCACAATCTCAGCTCACTGCAACCTTCACCTCCCGATTCAAGTGATTCTTCTGACTCAGCCTCCCAAGCAGCTGGGACTACAAGCGTGTGCCACCACACCTGGCTAATTTTTGTATTTTTAGTAGAGAGGTGGTTTCACCATGTTGACCAGGATGATCTCCACCTCTTGCCCTTGTGGTCCACCCACCTTGGCCTCCCAAAGTGCTGGGATTATAGGCATGAGTCACTGTGCCCGGCCTCTATTTTTCTTTAAAGCCCCATTAAATCAATCAAATGCAGGATGCTTGCGTCTCCTACACACCAAAAGTTGCCCATCCTGAACTTTGATGTGAGCGTGTTATGCCTATGTATACTGAGCATTTGAAATAGGCTCCACAGACCATTATAACAATAAATTTCACACTAGGAATAACATTCACACATCCTTCACCCAAGGCATTTATTGAGTAACCTTTATGTGCCAGTCCACTATGCCAATTAGGGAGAACATAAAAATAAAGATGGAATAGTCCCTGCCTTTATGGGGCTCTCCCATCTATTTTGAGAAACTGATGTCTAAACAAAATAATTAGAGAAGTGATAGTTACCATTGGAGAGGTATGAGCATGAGGAGCTACGGAGGCAGTATTTAATTCAGCCCAGAAGATTAGGAAGTATTCAGGAAAATCTTTTACAGAGAAACTGATGCTTGAGTTGAGTTGAAGATAGGGTGAAACTTCCCTGGTTGAAAAATAAACTGGTGTCTCAGAGAGAAGGATCAATATGTTGAAAACCAAGAACAACATGAAATAACGTTGTGCGTTTGGGAAATGACAAGCGGTTCGGCGTGATCGAACAGAAAGTGTGGGGACAGACAGAGGAGGCCAAGTCGGGGATGCCATGCTAAGGAATCAATATTGGATCCTGGGGACAGTGGGAGTCCATGAAATATTTCAAGCAAATGAACAGCATGACTTGCTGTGTTTTGATTCTCATCACTCCAGCATCTGACTGAGTGCAGTTTGGATGAAGACAAGGCTGGACAGTCAGGAGGCTGTTGAAAGTCCAGCTGAGATGTGCTGAGACCCTATGTAAGGCAGCTACAATGGCAGGGGTTTGGGGGGCTGGTGGTCGGAGCAGAGAAGAAAAGGAGAAAGATTTGAAAAAAGGTCAGAGAAATACAAGACTATGCCATTCTGGAACAAGAGCAACGTTCTGTGATATACATTTTCTGGTTCCTTTATTGCTTTTCTGTCTTCTTACCAGTGCTCTAATTTAAGTGCTGGTATCTCTGCTCTGATTCTCTCATTATGTACATATGAAACTTTATGGAAGAAGAAAGAGTGCTACAAAGCAGAGATCACATCTGCCTTCAGGTTTAAAGAGAATGTTAGGCAGGACACAGTGACTCACACCTGTAATCACAGCACTTTGGGAGGCCAAAACAAAAGGATTGCTTAAGCCCAGGAGATCAAGACCAGACTGGGCAACATAGTGAGACCTTGCCTCTACACAAAGAAAATACAAAAAATTAGCTGGGCATGGTGGCGTGCACCTGTAGTCCCAGCTACTCAAGAGGCTGAAGTGGGAGCTTGAGCTTGAGTATGGGAGGCAGAGATTGCAGTGAGCTAAGATTGCATCACTGCACTCTAGCCTAGGCAACAGAGCAGAACTCTGTCTCAAAATAAATAAATAAATAAAATAAAGAGAATGTTAGTACAATTCCTAATAAGGCATTACCTGGGGATGGCTAAAGCATATGATTTCCTTATCAAAACATGAAGGGATAAACAACATTAGTGTTTTGGCCCAAGAACTATTTGGTGCTTATTAAAAATACAGGTTCTGGGCTGGGCATGGTGGCTCAAGCCTGTAATCCCAGCACTTTGGGAGGCCACGGCTGATGGAACATTTGAGGCCAGGAGTTTGAGACCAGTCTGGCCAACATAGCAAAACCCCATCTCTACTAAAAATACAAATATTAGCTGGGCATAGTGGCATGCGCCTGTAATCTCAGCTACTAGAGAAGCTGAGAGGCAGGAGAATCGCTTGAACCCGGGAGATGGAGTTTGCAGTGAGCTGAGATCGAGCCACTGCACTCCAGCCTGGGTAACAGAGAGAGACTCCATCTTAAAACACAAATAAATAAAGAAATAAAATAAAAAATAAAAACATCTGATCTGAGGTCTTCTCCTGATCTAATGATGCAGGATTTGGCCAAAAGGTCGAGAGGATAATTTGCATTTTTAACAAGCAAGGTGATTCTCATGCACTCTAGACTTTGAAAACCACCTGAAGATTTCTACAGTCCCTTCCAAGCTTGATTTTTCATTAATCAGAAAATGACTTCATATAGGATAAATTTTTTCAGGAATCTTTGAGAGGATTAAATATCTTTGAGAGAGATAAACAGGTTGAAGTCACCCTTAATAATGTCACTCGATTACTAAAAACAACAGTTATTCAATGTTGGTTTGCGCCAAGCATGTACCAAATGCCTTATACACATAATCCCACTTATTCATGTCAATATCCTTTAGCCAAAGACCACCAGGGATACACTTGTCTTTAAACAAGTTGGATTTATTACTTGTTACAGCAAGGGAGAACATTCTCCTTGGGGAAGTGTGGAATGTCTCAGTAAGAGGGCTTAGAAAGAAATTGTTATAGGATTTGCACTTTAGTTGTGTGATTTCAGGAAGGAGCTAAAAAAGCTGGGATTCACTCTGGATTAGATGTTAGCAGAAAGCAGGATTAATTTTGTGATTAGATATCCCAAGAAATCTTACCCATAGGGAGGGGAGACTAGAACACGGATAAACCCGTAATTCATAAAGAAGTAGCAGTTAATAATTTTGGCTGAGAGAGTGGGGGCTTGGGATTGACTTTGTTTTGGTCTGCGCTTAGACAAAGTTAAGAAGTGGCTTTACTTTATCTCATTTCATCATGGTCTCGGAGTAGTCTTGTCTGAAGTTGTTATGCTGTGAGACTATTTATGTCTAATAGAGGCATAACATGTCCTCACTGTGAGTGTCAGGCAGCATCCAAGAGCAGTCAGAGGCTGCTCTTTTTTCTCACTTTTTTTTTTTCTCATTAACCAGACTATAGTCCACGAGATAACTCAAGCTCTGAGTGGTTATGCCATTTGCCATGCAGCTAATCAGTGGGCCTTCTGAGTACAGATGGCCTGAGTCCAAAGCTCACACTCTTGCCTGTGAAGCTTTATGACCTCCCGCAAGCTTGAAAAAGGGAAAGCGATCTATAAAGCAGTATACGGTACTTCTCAGTCTTGGGCGCAGTGACCACAGAAACCTTTCCCTTGAGTGTTATTACAAATTCACTACCAGGGCCTGATTTCTGGTTACGTGACATGCACCCATGAAAGGCAAAGTTAAGAGCTGTCTTAAAGCACTGGGTTAACAAAGTCAAAACTAGCCAAGATAAGAATCTAGATTTATGTCCTGCACTGGACTGGAAAATTGTTTAAAGACAAAAATGTAAGACAGAGCAGTCTCTGCCATCCAGCGAAATGAGTCAGTGCTTGTGGCGTTCTACCTCAACAATCTCTCTGGAATCCTGGAGAAATTCTACAATGGCATAGATCTTTCCCAGAAAATTCACAAAGAATAACTGAATCACATAGGGAGAGCCACGAATTTCAGGTCGAAAGTGCAGACTGATGCGCAGATACATTTAGAAAACACTAGGAATCCAAATAAAAGCAACACAGAGCAGTAACGCACAGGACAGCGTTAGAATATGCCAGAGAACAAGGTCACAATCTACAATCATTTCCAGTGAATGCAGCATGTTAAAGGGATGCATAAACTCCCCTTGTTGCCGAGGGCCCCTTTTGTGTTGTTCTTGCCAACGCAGCAGCCACCCTGCTATATAGACTGGCTGCGCGGCCACAGACACCATCACACTGAACTCTGCGGCCCCATTGCACTGAGCTCGCATCATCCGACTCCACCAGCCATGGGGAAGGTGAGCAGAACACAATTAAATAAAATGAAAAAAACTGCCTTTATATTATACCTGTTAGGAGCAAATGATGTAACTCGGAATGATTCTTCCTTTGCAGATCACCTTCTTTGAAGACAGGGCCTTCCAGGGCCGCAGCTACGAGTGCACCACCGACTGCCCCAACCTGCAGACCTATTTGAGCCGCTGCAACTCCATCCGGGTGGAGAGCGGCTGCTGGATGCTTTATGAGCGCCCCAACTACCAAGGTCAGCAATACTTGCTGCGGCGCGGGGAGTATCCTGACTACCAGCAATGGATGGGCCTCAGCGACTCAATCCGCTCCTGTTGTCTCATCCCCCAAGTGAGTTTTCTAGATTTCGATCCTGCTGCGGAGTGTCCGCATTGCATTGTCAGTGTGGGTTAGAGGGAGGGAGGTTTGCATTTAAAAACACCTAACGGTTAGAAGGACATTAGACACCTGCAGAAACCAGATAGAGAACACGCACAAAAACAGCAGAGAATATAAGGAAGAACCCACTTAGAGGAAGGATCTGTTTTCCTTTAAATTTTTGCTACCGATCAGTCAAAAGTGGCCTGTAACAAATGTAATATCATAATGGGATATAAAACAAAACTTGCAAACGGGAAGCTGGTTGGGCATACAAAGACGGTATTTTTTGCCTATTTTTACTATAGGCAAAATAATAAAAAAATTATTTTGCCTACAGTAAAGGAATTTCTGATGAATGAATTCCATAGGTTCCACTGTGGACTAGTAAGTAAACCTTCACAACTGTATTGTTAATATAGGCTAGCCAAAGTTTTTGTCTCACTTTGGAAAAGGTAATTTTTCTTAATTTGGAAAATCCGTTAAATTCTCTTTCCAAATGACTATTTAAATTAACTTTACACGTACAAGATTCTTAAAATTTTACTTTAGTGGTAAATTTATATGTTTATAAATTTGAGAGATAATACTCTTACCAAAAGAATGCTAGTCAAAATAAATTATGTCTATTTTCCCCTCCCAAATGTAGTTTTAATTAACACAGGTAATTAGGAATCAAGATATTTGAATTCTTGATGGTTTCTAACTCAGAGTTTGAACCTCTTAAAAATTCCGGCTCCTGAATAAGAATGAATTTCAGGTCCAAAGTGCAGGTCAAATAGAAAATGAGCATGCCAGTATTTAAGTGCTAGCAGAAGATAGATCCACGCACAGCATCACAGCAATCTTCTACGTTTTACATTGTCTAAATGTTACATGGACAATTCCATGCCCCAACCTACCAAGTTCATCCGTTCTTTGGTTGAACAAATTCTAAAAGAGACTCATTTGCTTTTTTCCATCCTTCTTTCTGTGGACCGAGTAGACAGGTTCCCACAGGCTGCGGCTGTACGAGAGGGAAGACCACAAAGGCCTCATGATGGAGCTGAGTGAGGACTGCCCCAGCATCCAGGACCGCTTCCACCTCAGCGAGATCCGTTCCCTCCACGTGCTGGAGGGCTGCTGGGTCCTCTACGAGCTGCCCAACTACCGGGGGCGGCAGTTCCTGCTGAGGCCCCAAGAGTACAGGCGGTGCCAGGACTGGGGGGCCATGGATGCTAAGGCAGGCTCTTTGCGGAGAGTGGTGGATTTATACTAAAATAGCTTAACACTCCTGATTTCCCATTTTGGAACCCAATAAAGTATTTAGTCTGCATTGTTGGCAATTGCTGACTTCTGTCTTTCTTTCACTGTACAAATCAGTTCACCTTTAAATGCTCCTTGTTAAAAGTTAAGTAGTGAATGGGGATGAAAGTGGGGTCTGTTGGAGAAGGGCTTCAAGGTAGAGTGAGTTTGAACAAGACTCGGAACTTGGGGTGGAAGCAGGGTGTAGCCTGCCTGAGAAACAAAAGACAGGGCAATGCCAGAGACCTGGGGGAGGCTGGCTGGCGAGAAGGGAGGCATTCAACTAAGCACCTTGAGGAACAAGAGTTCAGAAGTTTCCTTCTGACCCAAAACATGGGTCAGACAAAAGGTAAAGTCAGGTGAGTGGTGAGAGCAAACTTAACTTGGCCAGCAGTCTGATTAGGCTACATAAAGGATTGCAGTTTTGTTACTTTCAGGCACAGTACTTTACAACTAATGCCAGGGCCACCCGGTCATTGCTGTACCTTTGAACAAAGTCAAAGACCATTCGTCTTTGTTTGAAAATGGCTCCTGTCCAGGACTGTAACTCTTGGTCCATACTACCCCTGGCCCAAATGCTGTGTCAATTACAGAAACTGCACATCAATACAGGGTGTCCAGCTATTGCAAATAAATTAATAAGGAGACACATCCATCTTTTAAATAGACTTGCATGGTATAGTGCACCCCAAACATAAAAAGCTCTGTAACTACAAAAAACATCATTCTGTCATAAAGGCATATGCATGATATGTTCATCACAGCACTATTCACAACAGCAAACACATGGAATCAACCTAAATGTCCATCGATGGTAGGCTGGATTTTACAAAGTGGTACATATGCACGGTGGAATAATATGCAGTCATAAAAAAGAATGAGATCCTGTTCTTTCGAGCAACATAGGTGGAGCTGGAGGCCATTATCCTAAGCAAATGAACACAGGAACAGAAAACAAAATACCTCATGTTCTCGCTTGTAAGTAGGAGCTAAACTTTGAGTACATGTGGACACAAAGAAAAAACAAGAGACGCTGGGGCCTATTTGAGGGTGGAAGTTGGGAGGTTGAAGAGGATCAAAAAACTACCTGTCAGGTACTATGCTTATCACCTGGGTGATAAAATAATCTGGACACCAAACCCCTACAACACACAATTTACCTTTATTACAATTTACCTGTATATTAATTTGCCTGTATTACAAACCTGGATGTGTGCCCCTGAATCTAAAATGAAAGTTAAAATAAATAAATAAGTCCTTTACCTACAAAAAGGCTCAAATTTAAAGGTGATTAAAGAATGCCATAATTTTTGCAGCCTTTGATTAAACTAAAATCTACTTGCTTATAAGCAAAGCCCTAAAAAGTAAAAAAAGAAAAAGGGAAAAAAAAAGAATTGCAAGTCTTTTTTTATTATTTATTTATTTGTTTGTTTAGAGACAGAGTCTCACTCTGTAGCCAGGCTGGAGTGCTGTGGCACAATCTTGGCTCACTGCAACCTCTGACTCCCTGGTTCAAATGATTCTCTTGCCTCAGCCTCCCGAGTAGCTGGGATTGCAGGCATGTGTCACCATGCCCAGCTAGTTTTTGTTTGTTTGTTTGTTTTTTGTATTTTTAGTAGAGATGGGGTTTCACCATGTTGATCAGGCTGGCCTCAAACTCCTGACCTTGTGGTCTACCCACCTTGGCCTCCCAAAGTGCCGGGATTACAGGGATGAGCCACTGCATCCAGCCAAGTCTTTTCATCAGTAGAGAATTAATTTATTTTAACTTAAAATTCTCCCTTCAAAGTAAAAGCCTCCCATAATCTTACTACTGTAGAAATTCTACAAAGAAGTTGAGGGGAGTCCTTCTGATGCCCCTCATTGCTCTTGTTTACAGTTGGTGGGCACCCTTCTGGGGTTTTCTCCTTATTTACATAGCTCTCTCAAAAAGCACATGCTTCTTTTCTTTACAAAAACGGGATGATGCTATACATAGTCATCTGCAATTTGATTTTAAAATGCATTATAATATGGACCTATGTCTAGGCCAGCACCTTATTCTGTTAAATGGTTGAATTGCATCCTATTGTTTGGAGGTCCCCTAGACCATTTCACCATGCGTCCACTTAGGTGATTGGGCTTTTCCAATATCGCTTTTACCAACAATGCTGCAAATCATAACATTGCACATATTCGTAATCTTGATGTGCCATAATTTTAAAAAGATAGTGACCTAGAAGTGAGACTACCGGCTCATAGTGCAAGTTTATTTTATTTTATTTATTTATTTTTTGAGACACAGACACTCTATCTTGCCCAGGATGGAGGGCAGTGGCACAAACACAGCTCACTGCAGCCTTGACCTCCCAGGCTCAAGTGACCCTCCCACCTCAGCCTCCTAAGAAGCTGGGACTACAGGTATGCACCACCATGCCTGGCTAATTTTTTCATTTTTTGTAGAAAGGGGGTCTCACTGTGCTGCCAGGCCTGGTCTTGAACTCCTGGGATCAAGTGATCCTCCCACATCAGCCTCTGAAAGTGCTGGGATTACAGATGTGAGACACCACATCCACCCACAGATTTAGTTTCTACTTCAATAGCCTCCAGTTATTAGGTACTAGAGACTTAACTTCCTTGAGTTAGAATGCTTACCAATCTTTGAGCACCTACCATGTGCCTGCTATATGTAGCAATGGAGATGTAGAAAACAATCAAAACAAACAAACAAAAAAGGTATTTCTCTACCACTGCAGAGCTCCACATAGAAAGAATACTAAATATTGGCTGGGTGCAGTGGCTCACACCTGTAATCCCAGCACTTTGGGAGGCTGAGGTGAGTGGATCACGAGGTCAGGTGTTCACCACCAGCCTGGCCAAGATGGTGAAACCCTGTCTCTACTAAAAATACAAAAATTAGCCGGGCATGGTGGCGGGCACCTGTAATCCCAGCTACTCAGGAGGCCGAGGCAGAGAATTGTTTGAACTGGAGAGGTGGAGGTTGCAGTGAGCAAGGTCGCACCACTGCACTCCAGCTTGGGCGACAGAGCAGGACTCCGTTGAAAGAAAAAGAAAGAAAGAAAGAGAAAGAGAGAGGGAGGGATGGAGGGAGGGAGGAAGGAAAGAAACTAAATATTAATACTAAATAAGATATAATCACTTTTTAAATTTAAGTACTTACCAAGCACTAAATAATATATATTTAATCTCTTTTGTTTATCAAATACTTTTACATATTTCTTACAGTATATGTTTAACGTTTTGGAAGAAAAAGTGTTTTCCTGGCATGAGGTACACTACACATCCAACACTTCCTTACACATCTTACCTTTCTGCAACTTTTTTTTTTCTGCTTTGGAACAGCATCTCCACAGAATACACAGTTTCCTGTGAATGGAAACCCATCTGTTCTTGCCACAACAGACAGCAGATGAAGGGTGGCATTACAGGAGCAGCTACTTCCTGACTTTGGTTCTTTGGCTGGGGCACAGGCAGTCAAGAAGGTAGTCACAGGGAAAAAACCCAGGGGTAGTCCCAGGTTCTCTGCCACCTGCACCTCCTGCCTCCATCTGGCCCTCCTTCCCACTCCCTCCGCCTCCTGCCTTTCTACTTCTTTGTTCCTTTCTCCAGCCCACTGGTCTTGGGATATAGGATATGTGAATCTCCCAATCTCTGTCTCGGTTTTTAGGGGTGAAAGAGACCAGCTCAAGTTAGGGTTTTGCTACATACAGTCAATATCAATAAATTTGTATAGCTGGTATAAATGGCAGTCTAAAAATAATCCATGCATTTTGTAAATGACTTATTTTCCTTCTTTCTCTCATACAAAAATGACAGTCAGCTTGCAATCCATCATGAAATAACCTTTTTCTTCTTTAGAATTTCAAAAGGGAAGTGTTAGGGAACTAGGTTCCTGTCACTGATACAGTCAGTTTTGAGCCTTTACTGGTAAATTGCGTATCTTTAGTGAAGGATTCTGGGAACAATCAAGATTAATGTTAGCTAATTATGGTGGTGGCAGACAAGGATGAAGGTGCTTGAAAAGTAGTAGCTTGGCCGGGCACGGTGGCTCACACCTGTAATCCCAGCACTTTGGGAGGCTGAGGCAGGCAGATCATGAGGTCAAGAGATCGAGACCATCCTAGCCAACATGGTAAAACCCCATCTCTCCTAAAAATAAAAAACTTAGCCAGGTGTGGTGATGTCTGCCTGTAGTCCCAGCTACTAGAGAGGCTGAGGCAGGAGAACCGCCTGAACCTGGAAGGCAAAGGTTGCAGTGAGCCGAGATCACACCACTGCACTCCAGCAGGGCATCAGAGCAAGACTCCATCTCAAAAAAGCAAAATAGTAGCTCATTTAAAATGAAAATATCATGTGACACAATTAGAGATGACAGTTTTATAACAAAAGCTGTATTAATGAAGAACACGATCTTGAAGGCAAAAATATGGCTATTTCTTTGGAGGGAAATTTAAACCCAGAACTACAAAACTTCCTGTTTCTTTTACTAAAAGTGCTTGAGATGCACATTAAATCCTTTAAGGATGAGAAATTTTATAAATGAAGTATATAGGAAATAGCACTTTCTGTTTTTTCAGCCCCAGGCTGAAATAAAGCCTTCTCTCTTCCTGGTCAATGGAAAAGTCAAGCCCAAAGTCCCTTGCTCTGGTCTTCCGAATGCACCTGAAATTTCAGCTGCAACTGCATGTCAACAGAGGCAGTGGTTCACACAGACATCCCCATCATGCTCCTTGAGGTTTCCCTGAACCACTCTGCCCATGCTCTCCGGACTCTCTGCATCCTGGTTCCTTCTCATATTTTACTGTGTCTACATCCACACTCCCCCCACAGAAGCCTGGACTCAAAAACAATTCAGCAAAATAACGATTATTTAATTTTTTGTATTTTTATTGATATATCATAGTTGTACATACTTTTGGGCCACATGTGATATTTTGATACATGTATACAAAATATACAGTGTACATTACACATATACAACGTATAATGATCAAAGCAGGGTAATCACCTCAAAGATTTATCTTTTCTTTTTGTTGGGAACATTACAGTTCTTCCCTTCCAGCTGTTTTCAAATGTACAATAAATTATAATTTCCCTATTATACTGTCCAATACTAGAACTAATTCCTTCTATCCAACTGTATTTTTTTCTTCCTTTTTTTCTTTGTTTTTTTTTTTTCCTATCAAAGTGTGTTTTTATATTCATTAACCAACCCGCTACCCTTCCTAACCTCTAGTAACCACTATTTTACTCTTTCTCTTTTTTTTTTTTTTTT